CTGGTACAGCATCGCCCATCCATCTGTGATCTGTGTAAGGTGTTTTGTATGAAGTATTTTGCTCCTTTTTTGTTTTATTATTGTAGTAGGTCGACAGTCACTACTAGCTGACTGCCTCGTGTGCCTTGGGATGCTGCCAAAGTAAAGGAGTGAGAGAGGATCAGGGCATGTGAGGCTGCAGAGGGCCAGGTGACTCAGGTTTAGCTCTATGGGTAAAGGTCCTAGGCAGTGCCCAGAGGAACATAAAAAAATACTGATGCCCAAGTGCCCATCCCTTGAGATTCTGTTTTATCTGATCTGGGGTGAGTCCTGTACACAGATACATTTTAAAAGCTTCCTAGTGATTTTAATATGCAGCCATGGTTGAGAGCCCCTGCCCTGGTGTTTTTGGGTTTTGTTTTAAAAAGAATAAACAGGCCTATTTCGTTATAGATATGCATGGATGCATTTATAGACCTGTTTAGACTCTTAAAAGAAGTATGGTAAAGAGGGAAATACAGACTAAACATGAGTTACTGTTTTAAAAAAATCATTTCCTGGGGCACCTGGGTGGCTCAGTGGGTTAAGCCTCTGCCTTCGGCTCGGGTCATGATATCAGGGTCCTGGGATCGAGCCCCGCATCGGGCTCTCTGCTCAGCAGTGAGCCTGCTTCCTCTTCTCTCTGCCTGCCTCTCTGCCTACTTGTGATCTCTCTCTCTCTCTCTCTGTCAAATAAAAAAAAAAAATCATTTCCTTGTTAATTTTAAAACTTTGGTTTTTTTTTTTTTTTAAAGATTTTATTTATTTGTCAGAGAGAGAGAGAGAGCGAGCGAGCACAGGCAGACAGAGTGGCAGGCAGAGGCAGAGGGAGAAGCAGGCTCCCCACAGAACAAGGAGCCCGATGTGGGACTCAATCCCAGGACGCTGGGATCATGACCTGAGCCAAAGGCAGCTGCTTAACCAACTGAGCCACCCAGGCGTCCCAAAACTTTGGTTTTTTATTTTGGTTTTTGGTTTTTTTATTTTTGTTTTGTTTTGTTTTGTTTTGGCAGACTGATGATAAGGGTGTTTTTGCAACACACCTTTCTCAGGAGTACCAACTAGCAGCTGAGACATTTAATTTGACCCAGTCTCAGGTGTGGGATCTGTCTTACAAATCCATCGACTACATCTTTGCTTCTGACAGCACCAGGTCTGAACTGAGGAGGAAGTGGAATCATCTGAAACCCAAAGTGTTACATTTTTAAGCTGCAATGAGGTGAACTACTTTTGAATATGTGTTGCAACCAAGAGCTTCCTGCCATCTCCCACGTAGTAAACCGTCCACCACTCCCTCTGAAGCACAGCAGCCAGGTACCATGGGCTCCATCACCAGTAGCTTACTCATGACTTGTCCCATGACTGGCAGGCTCTGAAGTCTTACAGAGCTTACCTCCATGCTGCTTACTGGAAGGGACCTGAAGGTGGTGGCTATCTAAACTACCCACACGGCACCTGGGTGGCTCAGTAGGTAAAAGCCTCTACCTTCGGCTCAGGTCATGATCCCAGGGTCCTGGGATCGAGCCCCACATCAGACTCTCTGCTCGCCTGCTTCCCCGTCTCTCTCTGCCTGCCTCTCTGCCTACTTGTGATCTCTGTCTGTCAAATAAATAAATAAAATCTTTAAAAAAATAAAAAATTAACTCCCTACTCCACCAGATATTTGACTTAACAGTCCCTCTCCATTAATGATCATAAACCTTGAGGAAAATCAAAGGAGTTTGTCATCAAGAAGAGTTTTAGAATAACTAAAGATGAGGAGAGGGAAAACAAATTGCCCCCAAAACCGTTAAGCCTTGTAACTTGTGACAACAGTGCTCTGTATTTTGTTTTCCTTGTTTTACTCAAATTCCCTTCACTTAAGTATTTCCCAAAACTGCTGACTCCAGGTTATACTGTATACCATGGATTTTTTTGAATACCCAGTAGTCAGGGTTAATTTACTTTGGATGACCCTAGTGACAGATAAAACTAGCTTCTGAGATCTGGCTTTGTCCCTCTCATGATTAATCCCCCTGGAATCAAGGTGGTGGGTTTTTTTTTAAATGTTCCTAACTTATCCCTCTGTAATTTTGACCCTAATGGAGCTATACCAACCAGACGCTTCTTGAGGTCTCCTTAGGTTTCTATTTCCTGCTTTTAATCTGACTTCTGATTGTTCCAAAGTTTTGTTCCTGAAAGAGCACCATGGTGGATGTAGGAGTAATTTAAACTCCTAACTAAAATATCTCCATATAACATGTTACTTTAAGCTTAATGATATCAGAGAATATTTACCATTTTATATGTCTAAACTTTGATATGCATCTCACTGGACAGTTGAGTGTACAGGATTTTGAATTGAATAATGGAAGAATTGATTGCTTCTATCTCAGCTTCCCTTTCGTACCTGGTCACCATAAAAATAGTTCTCTACAGAGTTAATAAGACTCAGCCTCCATATTTCAACTATAGTAAAAGAGAAATGGCAACAAGAGAAAACATATAAACATTAAGTTCTGTAGAATTGGCCATAGCAAGCAATCAAAAGGAAGAATGTGGGGCACCTGGTTGGCTCAGTTAGTGGAACATGCAACTCTTGATCTCATGGTCGTGAGTTTGAGCCCCAAACCTACCTGGGGGTAGAGGTTACTCAAAAAAAAAAAAAAAAAAAGTCGGGGCATCTGGATAGTTTAATTGCTTAAGTGTTTGACTCTTGGTTTTGGCTCAGGTCATAGGCTTAAGGTCCTGGGGCCAAGCTCCCCCTGGAGGGCTGTATCTGGCTCCGCACTTAGCATGCAGTCTGCTTGAGATTCTGTCTTTCTTTCTCCCTCTGTCTGTCTTCTCCCTCTTTCTCTCCTTTCTCCCTCTTCCCCGTTCACAAGTGCATACTTTCTCTCTCTAAAATAAATAAATAAATACTTTTAAAAAATGGTAGTGTGGGGAAAATGAAGAAAAAGAAACAGTAGCACTAGAAAACAACTGATGAGGATATGATTGTTCAGCTCCTGCTAATACATCCTTACTTCCTTTGCTCTACATGTCGCTCAGTATGTCCCCACAAAGGTCTTATGAATATTAAAAGGGTAGGGTGCACAGATCCTCTTACTCCACCTACATTGGCCTTGGTTTCTCTTTCTTTGAATGTTGGAAGACTATTTCTTGCTTCTTCCATCCTTAGGAATACAGACTGGGTAGGAGAAAAAGCCTTGTTAAGCTATTTGAGATGAAATCAGCTTTCCCCAGTAAGAGAGTTTGCCTTTGCCCTGTTCCTTAGGTACATTCTCTTCATCTGGAGGTTGGTGGGGAGAAGGGAGGCTGGTGCTGGGTCTTTTAAAGTAAGACTTACTCTCCATGCCCAGGTATGACAGGTCGTAATGCACTGTACTAATGGATACAGATACAGACACCACAGAAGAATCTTCATTCTAATTTCTCTTCTACCACATCCTAATTTGTTTCTCAGTCTAGCACATAAAGATTCAAACAGGCATACTTCTGGTAAGCCCACACAGGGAGCCAAAAAAGTGGATAAAAATTTCTTTTCCTAGCAACAACAACTTAGTAATTTGCACATGTATATTTGGTGGGGTGTGGGACGGGGCGAACCATCTGAAGAAACACTGGGTACTTTATAGACATTAATTTTTATTAACATGGTATCCCTGAGAGGCAGATTAAGGTGTAAACATTATTCTGCTTTACAGAAAGGGAGATGGAAACAGGTTGACTTACACATAAGACATCTGGAACCAGAATTCATATCTGCTGATACCCCCAACCAGTACTTTTTATACACAACTATCCATAAATATACTAAAGACAGTAATCTCCCATATTAAAAAGACACACACACACATTTAAAAGACACACTTACTAAACCATCTCAAATCCTGAGGAACTGCTTTAGATTGGTGTTTCTTCTATCTTTCTGTCTCCTTAGGCCACTTAATTGAGATACCATCTTGTCCTAATAAACATTAGGAAATTCCTTGTAGTAGGATCCCTCAACACCAGAACTCAACCTCTCATCTAACACAGCAAGCTATGAATTACAGAATATTCTATCTCCCCACTCCTCTTTGATACCTCATTCCAGCCACAGGACTCTAATTATATATAAATATGAGACAGCTACTTATCCTAGACCTTAGCCATCTGTTCACATTCCTCTTTCCTCAGACCTGCCCCCTGTATCTTCTCAAGATACTAGTTTCTGACCTTTGTCTCCCATAGGAGCTAGTCCCCTCAAACAGCTCATTCTTCTTCTCCAGGGCAAGCTGGCTCTTTCATCAATAAGTGCAGCGCAGTATCTGATTTATTATAGGTGGATGGGACCACATCCTGATCTGCCTCCGGTACTCCATGTCCCAGTTAAGGCAGTGCTCTGCCTTGTGCGTAGCCTAGATAATACTATTCCTCAGATTTTGTGCTGCTCCAAGATTTGTTTAACTTTCCTTATAGTCTGTCCTTTGCTCTTGGCTCCATCTGCGTAAAACACCTTGCTCTCCAATTTTCCCATTTCTCACCCACTCAGCACTCAGTTTTGTGATTGGTTTGGGAATTTCATCCCACCCTAACTTACCCAGTAACCTTCCTTCCTTGAACACTTGCTGTTTCATGAAGCCTTCCTGAATAAAGAGAAGAAAATACCTCCCAGGTTTTTCTTATAGAAAACTATAATGCATTAGACCTTAACATTTATACAAAATGTTACTAGATTTCTAGATTTCTCTAAAACGATTGCAGCTCTACATGTGCATTTATTATTTGTCTATGTCAGTGTCATCTGTTTTAGGTTGTAAGAGTAAGGACAGGGCTTGTTTACCTTGTGCTGTACAGGGCTCATCATACTACTATGAACAGGTGGGCAATTATTCAATACTATTTGATTATACAGATCAGAATTACACTTGTGTTTGAAGAGCTTTTAGAAATAAATCTGTACATGAGTCCTGCATCAGGCTCCTTGTTCTCTGCCTGCTGCTCCCCCTGCTTGTGCTCTCTCACTCTCTGACAAATAGATGAATAAAATCTTTTGAAAAAATTAGATCTAGACAGTTGAATATGTGCATGTGCGCAAGTATTGGCAACTCCAGTGACCAAAGATAATCTGTCCTCCCTGTTAGGGTAAAGAGTTGTTGGCACAAAGGTGTCTGTTTCCTAATTCATGGGTATGTGGCGGTTGTTTCTGCTCAATACAGGTATTCAGTGACCATGGGGTGCTGTATAACACTATACTAGGTGTTTGGAGTGTGTGAAATGCAGACAGCCCCCTACTGGCAGCTTTAAATGCCTTCTCTCATACCAACATATCCAGCAGGCTTGCTCTTTGCACTTCTGGACCAGCAGGGACAGATGAAATTCGTATCAGATGGAATAGAAGAAAAAAAAAATCTATCTAGAATGCTCTAAATATATTATTCTATTCCAGATCTTCTAGGGCTTTGAAGAAATTAAGAAATCCAGGGTTCGTACCTCAATATTTATATAAGGTTTATACTCTTTCCCCATATAGAACACCTAGGCTTTTAACAAGATGATTCATAAGTCAGAACCAAGATGGGTATTAAATTCTCCTTTAAGGTAAATGAACAGTGGGCATGACAAATGTCATTCTGAGCACAGACTTATATGAACAAGAAAAGCCACTTTTTCCCATTTCCATTATTTTATAAAGAGTTAGACCCACTCAGAATAAGTCTCACAACCTCTCTCTGAAATGCTGCTGTGGTAAGTTTTTCCAGTTGAAATGCAGCCAAGTATCAGGATAAATAAATACATGGGATCTACTACTACATCCTCTCTATTAAGGAAACAACATAGGCACTGAGAGGTAAAGGTGTTATTTCTCATTTCCAGTGAAGGCAAGGAGAGAGACTGAAATCTTCCTTTCATTCTTAAGATAACTACCTTAGGAATTCATAGACCCAGGAAAAACAAGGACAAAGTGGGGCAAATCTTAGAGTGTTTCCTAAGCTAGTTGGGCAGAGAATAGGAGATGGATCTACTATTGGAAGACTTTTCCTAATAATTTCAATGCATGTATCTTTTCTTTAAATTCTCAGGGGCTTACTTAGGTGCTGACTGTGACAGAAGTTTTTCTCGCATATGGATCTCTCGGTGCTTATTAAGGGCGGAGCTTTTACTGAAGCATTTGCCACAGTCATGACACCCATAGGGTTTCTCTCCTGTGTGGGTCCTATGGTGTGCACGTAAGTCAGAACTCTTACTGAAACTCTTTCCACAGTCAGGACACACATGGGGTCTCTCTCCTGTGTGTATCCTCCGATGTGCACTGAAATGAGAACTATTGTTGAAGCTTTTTCCACACTCTTCACATTGATAGGGCTTTTCTCCTGTGTGGGTTCTCTGGTGAATTATAAGGCTCGAGCTCTGATTGAAGCGTTTTCCACACTCACCACATTGATACGGTTTTTCTCCTGTGTGGATTCTCCTGTGGGTGATGAAATTTGAACTGTCACGGAAACTTTTCCCACAGTCAAGACACTTGTAAGGTTTCTCTCCAGTGTGGATTCTGCGGTGTCTGATGAGGCGTGCGCTCCGACTGAAGCTTTTTCCACAATCAGCACATTTATATGGATTTTCCACTTGATGAGATATCTGATGCATGAGGTGGGAGTTTGGAACAAAGTTTTTGCTGTATCTGAGATATTTACAGGGTCTCTCTCCCAAGTAAGGTCTCTGATGATTTAGAACTTTACCTAAACTCCTCTCTGGGAGTGTTGGTTTTCTTCTTCTCTCCCCTGGGGTCATTTCCCACTGTTGTCCTGATCTACATTCACTCTCACCACCTTTACCCTGAGTAAGATGCCGGGACAGCTTCCTTTCAGACCTTGCAAGTAATGTTCTATGTAGTTGTACTTCCTCAGAAATATCTCGTTTTAGATTCTCTTCATTATCAAATCCAGCCTCAAAACCTGATATAAGAATAGAATTTCAAAGGTTATCCATTTCCTCAATATTATGTGCTGGGGGTAAAGTAAGTAGATGTTAAAGATAAAAATTAGGGAGCACTAGATCCCCAGTGACTACTACCAATTAGAATTCCAGTGTTTTTACTCCTGTGCTTAGTAACCAATCACATGTTTCTCATCTGTTATAGGGGCTGATTAATACATTCTTTTAATGCTTCCTGGATACCCATCATCTTCAGAAAACTCTCAGTATAACAAGGAAAACCTACCAGATTTAAGATAGGTCCAGGAGTACCCAGGAAAACCTTGAGAAACTTCTATATCCAAAAGAGCTATCTAAGTCCCCCTCCCCTCAAATTCCAATGTATGTTGAGAAGGAAAACAGGGTAGGAAAATATTTGGTGTCTTTCAAAGAACAGAAGGCCTTCTGAGAGAGAAATTTTGCTAGGAAATATCTCCCTAAAACAGTCTCTTTTCCCTGTTAGAATAAACATTAAATGTTCCCAAAGCACTACTCTAATGCCCAAGCTAAGCTTTTAATATTCTTCTAAGAGCCAAATACCAGGCTCCCCAGGCCTAGGTTATGTGAATTTGCAGATACTTGGCAAGTTTTCAGTTTGCAAATTGACTTTGAATTTGCAGAATTTTCAGATGTTTCAGACAAATTCTGGATCCCAAATTTCCTGGACTATATCTGAGAGCAAAGGAATACTGAGCATCAGCCTGTTTATGTACCCCCTAAAGACAGTATTTCTATCCAGAAGCTCAGTCATGTAAGATGCCCCTGTGAAACAGAGATTTGTTAAATTTAATGAAATCTCAGAACCTTAAATATGTGAGTGTGTATTGTGAGCCTCTGAGGAGGGTAATTTAGCACTTCCTAAACTTACAAAACATTTTTTTAGTGGAACATATTAACACCGCCATGGGACACCCTTGAAGAATGTACATCTGAAGAACTTTTTGAAAAGAAAACTATTACTTATTAAATACTTACTGTGTGCCTGAGCACTGTGCTAGGTGCTTCACCATAGTACCTCATTTACATCAACTTCAGTGAGGTATATCGTAATATGTAAGCAAACGTACAGGGTTTTAAGTAACTTGCTCTGAGTCATTCAGCTGGCTAATGGACAAGAGAGTTCAGATTCACATACATGTATGACTCGAAAATCAGAATTATTCTTCCCACAAGGAGGGAAGCCATAGTGAAGTATTTCTTTTTCTTACACAACAGCTAAGGTTCAAACGGTCCATTCCCTAAGAAATCTCGGACTTTTGCCCAGCTGTGGCTGAAGAGGTTATTGGGTTTTCATAGGTATGAATAAAGCAGACATACAACTCGTATGCAAGTTTGAAGTAGAGGAAAAAAACATTTAACAAGAATGAACTTTCAAAATCAACTTCATCCCACATGGGTATACAACATGCTACTTGGGAGATGTTAACTTTCATACTCCCTGCTAGGTAAACTGCCTACTAGCTCAGATGTAAATGAGAGCAAATTTATAAACTTTGCACCCATCAGATTGATGATGTATTATGAGAAGGCAAGACAGGTGAATAATTTATATCCCCTCTGTGAGCTGCTTTAATAGAAAAGAAACATGGAGAAGAGAGAAGGTGGTCACAAGAAGAATCCATAAGAGCTGGGTGTAGAAGCCAGTCTCCTACTCTTCAGATTGTTGATTTTTCTCCTAAATCCCACTGTCTCCCTTCTGCTACTCAAACCTCAAAAAGTAAAAGGATCTTACCACTGGGGCTCTGGAATAAGACTGGAGCACGGGTCATGACAACCCCCAGGGGTACCTCAGTATCCTCTTCATCATCCTCAGAATCTTCTTCTATGGTCTCTTCTGCAGCCTCAGCTTGCTTCTCAGCTTTGGTCTCACTGGTGGTCTGGATGGGGCAAGAGACTGTCTCTTCTTCCTGGCTGTCACTGGGTGGGGCAACAACCCTGGCACTCACCAAAGCATCCATCTCTTCAAAGAAGGGACAGGTCTCTGGTGCTTGGCCATTCTTGACTTTCCGATAGCTGGTCTGTAGGCTTTTAAACTTGGTCCGACACTGCTCTGGTGTCCTTAAGAATCCATATTCCCATAACCGCTCAGCCACTGCTCCATACAGCTGGCTGTTGCGGTGACAGTTCCGGAGGGCTTCGTAGAACTGAGTCTCACTAAGAATTGCAAGGTAAGTCTTTGTCTCTTCATAGCCCCAGTGTACACCTGCCACCAGAAAAGAATTTTCAGCACCACTTAATCCAGGGCTTTATAGCCTCTATTCCTCAGTCCTACCAAGTGTATGATGAAAAACCACCTAAGCTTGGGCTCCTAGGTAAAAAAGCAAAAATACTTTGTTTCCAAAATCTATACAAACTCATTATTAGAATGTTTTGCTTCTCTATATCCCACAGCAATTTCACAGGGACCTTGATTCCTATTTTCTCTTTAGCCATTTAAAAAAAAAAAAAAAAAAGTCTTTCCACCGGATCACTGAAACACTCATTACATACACTGAGTCAAGAGTAGAGGATGCATTTCCCCATTCTTCTAGTAATTTCTTTGGAATTCTGATCATAACTAGAAAATAACTGGCCAGGGGAATAAGACCTAGTCAATCACTGTCATGAGTCATCCCTAACTTTTCTGATCACTCTTTTTCCATCAGCTCTACTTCCTTATGAATTAAGTGTTTGAAAGCATGACTCAGGACCCCAAGGAACAGTCTCTTGCAGAATCACACGGTTGCCCATTCCCTATTATGGCCCTTCTTCATTTGCCACAATCTCAAAAAAGCCCAGTAATAGCAAAGACCTGAAGGGTACAAGGTGAGAGCCTGATAGTCATGCACCTTATCCTTAGGAGTGAAGGTCTGGTGGAAGCTGGAAAGAGGAAGAAAGTGAGAAGTATCTCCTGGCCTGAGCCTGTACTAGTGCTGCAGGCTTCCTTTGGGCAGTACTTCAGTAGGATTACAGACTCTGCTCCTTGCTAGTCCCCAGGCTAGAGGGAAAGGAGATTCAAAGAGTTTTCCTCCCACTTGACAGCCACCTGAGATGCTGCTGCTTCTATCATCCTCCACTAACTGTCAAGTAAATGAGTTGGGGGAAGAACTGGAAGACAGAAAAAGCAGTGGAAAAAGTTGAACAGATCATGAAAATAATGGTAGCTAGCATATGTGCCATGTCTGTGGTTTACCTGCATTTATTCCATTGTCAAAAAAAGAATGAAAGAAAAAAGCATACTGAGAAAGGGAAAAGAAGATAGGAAGACAAGAAACCTGTAACAGAACTGAAGTAACAACACACACATATAATAAAAAAATGAAAAGATCGCTGTTCACAGTGAAACGGCAACTTTAGAGAAGTAGTCCTGCTGCCACGCCCCATTTTACAGGTGAGGAAGCAGCTCGGAAATGGTCAGATGACTATCGAAGGTCACCCAAGGTGATTAGTAGTCAAGATTAGAAACAAACTCCCGACTCATATTCTGGTGTTCTTTCCGTAACAACATGGTTATACAAATTATATCAACAGTAATAAATAATACTTAAAAACAGTTCCATGGGCAAATATTTCAACCAAGTGTTAAACTAAGATTTCTTACTATGTGTGTTGCGGATCTCCTGTAAGAGTCTTAGAAAATGTTTCCCCAACTTTGGGAAGTCCTTCACTATGCTATGCTAAGTGAAAAGGAACACAAAATAAACTGACATTGAGAACTGGGGAAATAAAGCAGCAGTTTGTGTAAGGTGCTCAATAAATATTTTCCTTAAACATAGCATAGTGCCAGCAGGTTCTTCTCAGCTGTTAGTGATTTTATAATCAGGAAAAAAATTTTAATAAAGAAATGGAATGATATTCTTTTAAAGAGCTCTAGAATTTTCTGAGTGTACATATTTAAAATATCTAAAATTACTCCGTACTATTGTCTAATTTTCCCACAAGAGAATGAAATACACATAGAACTGAAAAGTGCCTGCCTCTTTGTTTTCTATTTAAGTGACAAAGCTGACAGGCAACATTAGACTTCCTGACTGCACATGCAGTCTCATAACTCCTCAAATCTAATCCCAGAACCCCCAAAAGAAAAGCTTCTTACCACTGGGGCTTCGAAAAAGAACAGGTGCAGTTGAGTTGTCGGGGTCTTGGGGGGTGGCCTCCTGGCCCATTTCATCACTGTCCGACTCTTCAGCCACAGCCTCTTCTGCTTCCTCATGCTGCCAGCCCTCTTGCCCTGGCTCCTCTGTCTCAACATCACTGCCCACCAGGCCAGAGTGAGAGGCTGCCTCTTCCAAGCCATTACTGGGCAATGCAATGACTTGGGCACTCATCAGGGCCTCCATCTCTTCAAAGAAGGGGCAGGTTTCAGGTGGGTGACCACTCTTGACTTTCCTATAGCTCTTCTGGAGACCTTTGAACTTGGTCCGACACTGTTCCAATGTCCGAAGGAAGCCATACTCCCGGAGCCGCTCAGCCACAGCCCCATACACTTGGCTGTTTCGATGACAGTTTCGGAGAGCCTCGTAAAACTCAGTCTGACTGAGAATTGCAAGGAGGGTTCTGGTCTCTTCATAGCCCCAGTGCACACCTGCTACCTTCTCATCCTCAAAGCCCCAGTGATCCTGGTCCACCCAGCTTCTTCTCTCTCTCTTGGGTGATAACAGATCAGCATGCATTTGTCTTTCTCCTGTGTGACTGCTTCTTGAGAGTTCCTTCTCCTTGGAGCCCAGATCAGGGAGCTCTCCTTGCTCCAACCTGGAGACCACACCGGATTTAGGAAATGGAAATCCTGCTTGCAGGGAAGCAAACAAAGGATATCACAATTTGGATTGATCATAAAAATACCTCTGAGTTCAGACCTGTCTTTTTTCGAATCCAAGAGGCTTATAAAGAAAGTGTCTAAGGAAGTGTTCTCAGAAAGTTCAATGGGTTGGAGAAAGTAGGGGAAATACATAAAACCTCAAGAAAAGAAAATATTTTCCAGAGCAGGGTTACAGAGAGGAAAAGGTTCTGTTTGTGTGTTCAGAGCAAATACTTCTGTTCCATGTCGCTCCCTAGCTCTCCTCACCACTTATAGGTCTTGGCACTGCTGGGAATCTTACAGGTCTTATAGGAGGTCTTGGTACTGCTGGGAATAGTCATCTCCCATCTCCTATAAGTTCTCCACTTGGCACTAGAGAATTAAACTCAGAGTGATTCCAAGGGCAAAAAGAGTAGGGGAGAAACTTCAACTCATCCATTTCCTTCACAATGCCACCAAGTTCTAAAGGCTTCTCCCATAGAATGTCCTGCTCTGTTCCTTAAGCCTCATCCAAGTCTAGAACCCTTATCCTCTTACAGCCAGATAAATGCAGCAGTCACTGTTCTACCTAATTCCAGGCTCTTGCTTCCTCAGCTCAACACAATACTGCTGAACCTTAACCTCAGTGCCTCCCATGCACTGTCCATTCATATCAGACTCCTCTCTAGATCACAGCATACTATTATTCATCACTCTGGGCCTTTCCTGTAAGTCCCTCCTATCCAACTCTTTAACCCATTCTATGAGAAGTTGTATTTGCCAGAGCCACCCTATAAAGCCTTCCCTACTGCCCTCCCTCATCTCTTACTCTGCCAAACCCCTTTTGTACTCACACAAACTGACTAACAGTCATTGGCTGGCATGGTTTCAATATAGTTCAGTTCAGCACATATTTGTTTCCAATCACACCCTAAGCTCTTTGAGAACAGGCACATTTACTTATTGCAGAGTACCTTGCAAGGTGTTAGAATGCATGGTAGGTGTTCAAAAACTGATTAATTCTGCAAGTCTCTGTTTGGGGCTGAGGACTTGCATCTGGATTGCTAAACAGAGACCGTTACAAATGGCTGAGAAGGCTAGCTTCTTGGATGATAAGATCAGAATTCAAAACAACCTTAACAAGTTGAAGAAACGATCAAAAAAACCCCAAACAGATAATAGGGAATTCAACTGAGAACAAATAAGAAAAACAAGTTCTACAAAATCAAATACAACAATAAGGAGTAGGCACAAAGACAATGGGGAAACTGTTAAGAGTCCTGAAAGTTACCAAGTAAACAATAATCACCAGTTAGTAGAGCTTTACTAAAAGAAAGTGTAGTGAAATTCTCAAGTAAAATTCCTACTCTGCCTCTACCTACCAGACCCTCCCTCAAATAATATAATTTAGTTCTCCACAATTAACTTGGTATTTGGAAGACTTCATTTCCAAAGGAGAATAACAAAAACTTAATAGGTCTAAAGAATGGAGCTTCTGGGGCGCCTGGGTGGCTCAGTGGGTTAAAGCCTCTGCCTTCGGCTCGGGTCATGATCCCAGGGTTCTGGGATCTAGCCCCACGTGGGGCTCTCTGCTTAGTGGGGAACCTGCTCCCTTCCCCCATGCCTGCCTGTCTACTGTGATCTCTGTCTGTCAAATAAATAAATCTTTAAAAAATAAAAAAGAACGGAGCTTCTGAGGAAGAGCTTGAAGAAACAAATACAGTTCAATTTGGAGAAGGAAAATGACTAAAAAGAGGCTGTGCCTTCAAGTATACAAAAGAATTTTTATCTAGGAAATACCTAGTATCATCATTACCAAGAGGAAATAAAATAGTTCCAATCCTGATAAAAACTAGGAAGTCATCCTCTGGCAGACTTGTTGAAAGAGGAAATATAAGAATACTACACCTGAGGGCTAAACTAGGTACCTTCAGGAGGTCTCCAACAACTGCATACTCTACAATTTCAACTCTTTTCCTGAAATCCCTTTCCCACTCACTATTCCCAACCCTACTTCCCAACTTAGAATGGTATCCTATCTTCCCATAGGAATCTACTCCTCACCGCTCCTTTGAAAAGGTCTGAGCTTCTCCTTTGGGTTCATCTGCTCCTGTGGTCCCAGGTCTGGGCTCCTTGCCCTCTCTTTCTTGGTTACACCCCTGGGCTGGGGTTCCACTGACTCCTGCCGAACACTTAATAACTCTCGTGATGATTTCAGGGGTGTCATCTTCTCCAAGCGCACTTCCTGCCCCTTCACAGAGACTGTGACCTAGAAACAACCCCCATTAATTGTCACTGCAAGGTTATAATGAGGGCCATTCCCAGAGGAGATTATTTAATACCCCAAAAGAGTTCATCCTTTTGGGACCTGGCTAGGTTTGGCAGGGGAGGAGGTTTAACAGTGAACATGGGTCTTTCTTATTCCATTAGCTTAGAGCAATTGGAGCTCCAGAAAGAAAAGCTCAAAATAGTAAACCCACCTACAGCTAAAAAATAATTCCCCTTTCTTCTCTCTTAAGTAAAAAACCTGTAAGACTATGAATAACTCATTATGACAGGATAGCAAAGGTACACCCAGGTAGCATCTCCAGATAAGCTCTATCTGAAAAAGTTACCTGTTCCAGGACACTAAGTATAAGCATCACCAAATGAGATTGTGCCCCTCTTTAAAGCTGTATATACCTTAATATGGCCCTTTATCCTTGCCCCTTCCCAGTCACACACTTCTGAATTCCCCCTCCCTTCTCACCGAATGTCCAGGTCTTCCAGGCTCTCTTTCTAAATCTTCCACCAGAGCCACTGCCTCCTCTCCACTTTCTGGACATTGCTCCTGTACCCAATTCTGGATCTCCCCAGGTAAGATGGTCAGGAACTGCTCTAGCACCAACAATTCTACAATCTGCTCCTTGGTGCGCACCTCCGGCCTTAGCCAACGACAGCAAAGTTCCCAGAGTTGGCTGAAAGCCTCCCGGGGCCCAGCTACCTCCTGGTAGTGAAATCTCCTGAAGCGCTGTCGGAACGTCTCAGAGTTAGTGCCATTCCCTCTCAGAATGGGTTTGGCCATCATTCACAGCAGAAAGCGGCTTCCCTCCACTTAAGGGTTGGAGGGCTTACACCTATTTTCCCATGTCCTTGGAGAATCACCTGCAGATGAGTCTCTCAACTGTAAGAAGAGTTTCCTCCTAGGGTAGAGAGAGATGGCACTATCAGAAGAAATACACTCACTCACATGTCTAAAGTCTTGCCAAGGGTTGGTTTGACTTCCCATATAGTCCACGTGGCCATGTGAGGTAGCACCAACTTTAGGACAGCAAGCCAAACAACATGGAGACCTTTCAAAAGCTACCATTTCTGGGCGACTTTCAAGGCAGCCTGGGGAAGCAACAAAGTATAAAGTATTGTCTGCCCTTCTTCCACCTCCCCCCAAACCTGATCCCAGTCAACTCCCCTGACCAATGTTGCATAGTGAGTTCGAACCATATGGGAAACCTGGAGCTGGCGAGAATCTAAAGGCAAGTCACCCTCTTGCTGAAGGCAACAAAAAGCCTCTGTCCAGCGGGTGGCAGCTGATCTCCCCCAGTACCTCCGCAGTCCTTCCGGGGACCCTTTACATCCTCCCCGCCTCCTCAGACTACACAACTACCAATTCCCACCTGGGACAAAAATCAAGTACTGAATACTGGGTCTTTGTTTTCCCTCACAGCCTAAGTAACCGCTCAGCAACTACTCGGGAACTACTGAAGGGAAACCTCGCACACTAGGAGGATTGGTTTGGGTTCCTGAAGCGAGGGCCGGTGGGCGTGGGGAGTCACAGAGTTGGTGGAGAGAGGGAGTCCGAGGGGTCAGTAGTATTGGGTCTCCTGAGGACGAGTTCAGTTGCTGGCCAGGGGCTCCGGGTGCTGCGGGGTTCGCGGGAGCGGGACTCGACTCTAGGAGCGGCGGGTGCGGGATTCCGGCCTCTTTGTCTTCGGTCCCTCTGGCCAGGTCACTCTCGGAGCCGTCGTGCGGTCCCTCCAGAGGCCTCCGACCGAGCTAAGGCGCCCTGAGAGCACCCTCCGGCCACCCCAGGTAGCGTCTCCTTCTCGGGGCTGCCCCTCAACCCACTCGCATCTCTGCCCCCGGGCCAGCCTCACCCTCTTAGGGTCGGGCCCCAGCCCCGGCTCTCCAGCCTCCCAGTCCAGCTTTCGAACCGGAAGTCCAAGCGGGGGACTCGGGCACTAAGGGCGCATGCGCAAGGGCACTCCGGAGATTCCTCCAGCAGAACCTCGGCAGGAGAGAGCGAGTGGGCCCAGCCAAGCGCGGCACACTTCCGGGACGTGGGGCGCCTATCCCGTAATATTTCCCCTCCGCTCTTCCCGCAGCAGTTGTCTTGCCTCTTGGGATTCAGGACAAATCGCCTGTCCCAGGGGCCTGTGCGCTTGTCGAGAAGGCGGCATTCGCCCCTGCGGTCCCCTGGAGGGACGTTGGAGGAGGGGGCGACGGATATAGGGACTCGAGATCCGCCGTGGGAATGATCCACGAACTGCTCTTGGCTCTGAGCGGGTACCCAGGGTCCATTTTCACGTGGAACAAGCGGAGTGGCCTCCAGGTACGGTCCAGCCCCCTGCGCGGGAACCAAGGAGCGCAGAATGGGCGGGCTCGCGCCGGTACCTGGGGGAGGAGTCTGCGGGGTCGGAGGGCGGGGCTTACAGGGGCAGTGTTCGGGGAACGGGTTCCTGGGCTGGTAACCCGGGAAGTGCCTAAGGGCGGTTGGCGCGCGTTACCTCACCTCTGGAGGGCTGGGCCCGGGCTGGCGTTGAGAAGGCGGACTCGGGAGGAGGGAGCACGCGACCCTGCCTGAGGTTGAGGTGTCTGAGCGAGAGTTGCTGGGGAACTGGATGTGAAAGTGAAGGAGGCGCTTTCACCCGTTTTCACGCTTGCACTGCTTTAAAGTGAACTTTGAAAACTAGTCCAAATACGTAGCTCTTAACACACTATGTGGGGGTCATCCAGTTTTGTTGACTAAAAAAAATGAAGAGTGTTTCCCTCATTGCTCCTTTCGCAGGAAATTTCTGCACTAGGAGAATTTGGAAGGCGATTTTTATATAACCAGGAATGTATGAGGGGGAAGGGCTAGGTACTATATGCATTATCTCATTTAATCTTCACAATCACCTATCTCCATTTCACAGATTTACTCCCTGTATTTGGTAGCTAGTAATTATTGAGCTTCGTCTTGAACCCCAGGTCTGCTTGGCTCCTGTATCTGAACCATTCTTTTCTACTTCTGCTTTCTGTAATATTAGCCAGTCCTCTCAATAACTTAGTAACTTAGGTATTGTTAGTCGGAATTGACGAAAGAGCAAACTGAAGCTCAGAGAAATTTATGGTGACTAGTCCTCGTAATGGCAAGATTTGAATCTAGCTCACAAGATTTGAATCTAGCTCACAAAGTCATGCCAATTCCAAACCAAGCAACATATTCTTAATTATAGAGAAAAAACTGGTGGCTACCTGAGGGGGAGGGACATGGGGGAATGGGTGAAATAGGTGATGGAGGTTAAGAAGTGCACTTCTTATGATGAACACTGGGTATTGTTGCCATATAGTAAGTGTTCAGATATTTATGGAAGAAAAAAAGACTACTAAAAACAGAAAATATTGCATACTTTCTGCAGAGCATGTTTTTCACAATCATAAAGGGGAAAATTGTTATGAATGCCTAATATTGATAAAAATCATTTTATTATAATACTGAATATATGTACACATTAACCTAAGTATAAACTCAAGCATATTGCTCTTTAAAAACTGTAAAACCAGGGGCGCCTGGGTGGCTCAGTGGGTTAAATCCTCTGCCTTTGGCTCGGGTCATGATCCCGGGGTCCTGGGATCGAGCCCCACATCGGGCTCTCTGCTTGGTGGGGAGTCTGCTTCCTCCTCTCTCTCTCTGCCTGCCTCTCTGCCTACTTGTGATCTCTGTCAAATAAATAAAATCTTTAAATAAATAAATAAATAAAAACTGTAAAACCAATTATTTGTTACAAAATAAACAAAACTACCAAGTGGATAAATTCAAAATAACATTAATGTATGGTTTCTCAACCTTGGCACTATTGACATTGTACACTGGATAATTCTTTGTTGTGGGAGTGTGTCCTGCTTGTGCATTATAGGATGTTTAGCAGCATCCATGGCTTCCACCCACTAGATGTCAGTAGTACCCCCTGAATTGTGGCAATCAAAACTAACTCGAGACATTTACCAAATGGGGCAAAATTGCCTGATTGAGAACTGGTGATGTAATGTGACATATACTATTGTTTTGCTGAAACTAAATCTCCAACACTGAGTTTAGTAATAGTATGACTGCTACAGATATCTGTTTTGACATCAGTAAGTCTGTGGTAAAGAATGTCTGTTCAGGGATCCCTGGGTGGCTCAGTCTGTTAAGCGTCTGCCTTTGGCTCGGGTCGTGATCCCAGGGTTCTGGGATTGAGCCCCACATGGGGCTCCTTGCTCTGCGGGTCACCTGCTTCCCCCTCTGTTTGCCTCTCCCTGTGCTTGTGTTGTCCCTGTCTCTCTCTCTGACAAATAGATAAATAAGAATGCCTGTTCATATAAGTAGGTTGTACCAAATGATATCAATAACTTCAAAGTACTGTTTGCTGTTTCAGAATAACTAGACCTTGAACTTTTCTAAAACTCTGCCAACAAAGCACTGCTCAAAATTCCAGTTTTAATGGGAATTATTACTTGATAACTGTGTAGAGCTGTCCTAATAATAAAAAATTGCTTTCATGTGTTGAGCACTTGCAATGTTCATGGCTTTACATGTATTAACATTTATCCCCACAATTACCATCTCCACTTTCTAGGTATGAAGACTGAGGCACAGAGAGTTATTTATAATATGCCTAAATTTTCATGCAAGAAAGCAGCAACTCAGGGATTCAAAACTGGCACTCTGACTCCAAATATGAGTTTTGTTTGTTTGATTATTTGAAAACCACAGGCAGGGCTTTATTGGGGGTATAGTTCCAGCTGAAGGGAGACACTGCACTAAACAGAGTAATTAGGTTGGCCTCCCAAAGACAGATTTTTTTTTAAAGATTTTATTTATTTATTTGACAGAGAGAGAGAGATATCACAAGTAGGCAGAGAGGCAAGCAGAGAGAGAGGAGGAAGCAGGCTCCCCAATGAGCAGAGATCCTGATGTGGGGCTTGATCCCAGGACCCTGAGATCATGACCTGAGCCGAAGGAAGAGGCTTTAACCCACTGAGCCACCCAGGTGCCCCCCAAAGACAGATTCTTAAGCACTGTGTTGTTAAGCTATTCACTTGAAGATATGGTTAGTGTTGTGTCATTAAAATATGCATGAAATAGATTCCTAAGGGGCGCCTGGGTGGCTCAGCCATTAAGCAGCTGCCTTCTGCTCAGGTCATGATCCCAGGGTCCTGGGATGGAGCCCCACATTGAACTCCCTGCTCCGTGGGGAGCCTGCTTCTCCCTCTCCCACTCCCACTGCTTGTGTTCCCTCTCTCGCTGTGTCTCTCTCTGTCAAATAAATAAGTAAAATATTTAAAAAATGGATTCCTAAACATATTATGGATTTGGTAACAGAAAAATTCTTCTTTGCTCCTATTTATTACCACATTCACTATTATGTAAAGATGACATCCACAAAATACAGTACTCAATGATATAAATAGGTAATATGCTAAGTTCTTTGGGGATAGTAACTACATCTGATTTTGTTCACTATTTAATCTCGGGATATTAACACAGTGCCTGGGATAAGTAGGTATTGGTTAAATGATGGTTGATCCTCCAAAGAAGATATACACTGGCCAATAAGCAAATGAAAAGATTATCAATATGGCTGATTATTAGGGAAATGCAGATCAATGAGATAGCATTTTATACCCATTCAGAAAAAACAAAATGACAAGTGCAGGTGAGGTCGTGGAAAAATAAGAACCCTTGTGCGTTACTGGTGGGAACAGAAGATGGTACAGCCCTTGTGGAAGATAATAGGGTGACTCTTCAAAAAAATTAAACATAGAACTACCAAATGATCTAGCAATTTCAATTCTAGGTACATACCCCAAAAAAGTTAAAGAAGAGACACGAACATGTATCATATACAATACCCAGATATTTGTATACCCACGTTCATGGCAGTATTATTTGCTGTAGCCAAAAGTTAAAAGTAACTCAAGCATCCCTTGGCAGATGAATTGGATAAACAAAATGCTGAGCAAATATACAGTTGAATATTTTTCAGTCTTAGGAAGGAAATTCAGATGATGCATGCTACAACATGGATCAACCTTGGAGACACCATATGAAGTGAAAAAAGCCAGTCATCAAGGGACAAATATTGTATTTACACTTATTTGAAGTACTTAGAATGGTCAAAATTATAGAGGCAAGCAATTGCCAGGGGCTGGGGGTAGGGAGGAATGGGAAGTTAATGTTTATTGGATACAGGGTTTCAGTTTGGGAAGATAAGAAAGTTCTGGAATTGGATAGTGGTGAGGAAGGCCCAACGGTGTGAATGCACTTAATGCCACAGAACTGTACTTTTAAAGATAGCCAAAATGGTAACTTTTATGTATAGTTTACCACAATATTAAAAAAATGTGGTTGAATGAGTACATTCTCCTACTTTGTTGTACTCGATCTGCTATGAAACCTTTATAAAGCACAGTAGGTTATTATTTGGCCTTCCTTTCAATTAAAATAATATCCAATGAAATGAAATACCAAATACAAATGAAAATATGGACACTACATTTATATGTCCAGTTATAAGGTGCTTTTATAGATTATAGTATGTTACATTAATTTTACATTTTTATGGAAATGAAAATAAAATTTAAAATTTAATAGAGAATTTGTAAATCTTAAGAATATGTCTGAGAAACCCCTAGAATCTGCAGATCCCGGTTTGAGCAGTAGCGCTAAAGAGACTTTGTTGAAATTGGGTAAAAAAAACTCCATATTCTTATAGGCCATCCCTGGAAGATTGCAAAAGAAACAAGTAACAGTAGCCACCTGTGGGGAGGTTGGCTTGTTTTTAATGTGCAACACTTGGTAGTGTTTGAATTCTTTACCGCGTGTTACCACCTATTTCA